CTTTGGTCTGTCTCTGGTCTCTCTTTGGTCTCTCTCTGGTCTCTCTCTGGTCTCTCTCTGGTCAATCTCTGGTCCCTCTCTGGTCCCTCTCTTGTCCCTCTCTGGTCTCTCTCTGGTCTCTCTCTGGTATCTCTCCGGTATCTCGATCTCTCTTCGGTCTCTCTCTTTACTCTCTCTCTTCCTTCCGTCTATATCCACTCTCTCTCCTCAGTCCCTCTCTGCTCTCTCTCTTCTCCTCGTCTCTTCTGCTCCCGTCTCTCACTTCCTGCGACCTGGTGCTGTGTGGGTAATTATCCAGCGTGCTCCGGCTGTAAGATAATGGGGAGTGAAGCGTCTGCGTCCACAGCTGCTCTTTGATATTCATCAACAACTGCCTCACACCTCTTCACTTTCATCTCATCTCCACTGGGGCCGCGACAGACGCCCTCACAAACACACTTCAATGAGCCGAGAGAGCGCAGAAGCCCAGAGAAGCCCACAGAACCTGCAGAACCCATCACAACACGCTGAATCTAACAACAAACCGGGCTTCAAACGGAGGAGAAAAGGACATGTCTTCATCAGGGCTGGAGTCAACAAGAGACTAGCAATGTTCAGACTCAGGCCCTCTGTGAGACAAATGCAGTCGTCTCGGAATCAAACAGCAATGAAAATAAAAAAAGCATAGGAGCAATTGGTCCATAAAGGGAAGTCACCAATCTCTTAACATTTTGGATCATCATCACTGTCCGCAGACCCTCCTGCATCGGCTCAAAAACCCAGTTGGAGAAAAGAGAAATCTTGCGGAGGTCCAGAATCAGAGGTATATACTCCCACAGATCGACAGGCTGCTGTAGACCCAGGACTGAGGTTTTAGACCCAGGACTGAGGCTGTAGACCCAGGACTGAGGCTGTAGACCCAGGACTGAGGCTGAGTCCAGGCCGAGGGAGTCAGTTGCTTCTAAACAATCTTACAAATCTTAAACAATCTTAAAATAGGGAAAATAAACACAGGGTAGTGGCTCTTACTAAAGGACTGGTTCTGAGCTGAAGCAGGAGGTTCTGAGGACAGAGGAGATGATCCAGGAGATAAGATCATTTACAGAGATCACTCAGAAACTTCCTCTGATGAAGTTTTTGTTTGTTATCATTGCATTTTCTGTGTTCGAACTGTTTGATTTTCTGATCTGTTGTTGGTAAATGGATAACTTTGTAACATCCTCTGAGACGACTACTGTTGTGATTTAGGACAATACACAAATACATGTAATTGAATTATTAATTTGAAAAACAATTGCTTTTCCATGAGTCTCCTCAACTGGTTTTGCAGATATAGAGCAGACCCAGAGGTCTCCATCACATTACTAACCAGGCCCTGCCCTGCTTAGCTTCATAATATTGATAAACTGGTCTTTAGTGTTCAATGTTGAAATCCAGGTTAAAACAGTTCTCTAACGATTGGGAGAAAGTTAGTTTAAGGCCGAGTTCAGTGAGTGTGTTTTCTGCATAAATCATAAAATAGATCCAGTTAATTTTGTGCAAAGTGTGAGTGGGATGTTTGTGTTTGCAAAGGTCTCCAGAGTTAATCACTTAAGTCTTAGTGAGTCCGGACACACACACAAAGACACACACACATACACACACACACACACCACACACACACACATACACACACACACACACACACACACGTTTTTGTTACCTGGTGGGTCCCTTTGACAGGGCCGTTCAGAATGGGACCCATAGACATAATCTTTTTTTACTGGGACTACTTTAAGTAATACAAAACAGTCAATAGAAACCAAACAACTATTTTAAAGGAATTTTATTTTAGATTTTGTTTTCGAATTGCAGTGATTCTATTTTTGACATAGAATTTAATGCCACTCCATGTCCGATGTCTAAGGTCATCTGGTGAGGCATTAATGCAGGCCAGGCAGTGAGACTTCCCAGGGACCTTTCCAGTCTGTATGAAAGGTGTCATGGTCTTCTCCACAGCCTTCACCTCAGATGCAGACCATGGCTTTCTTACACGTTCTAGGGAGAGAAATAAAAATATATTAGCAATATACACTCCCAGGGTTAGGACCAAGCAGCCTGGCTGTAATCCCCCACCTGGTACACTTACCAGAAGGGGCACTGCCACTACCATGGGGTGCATCTGGATGAATGGTTGAAGGTTCTCCGCTTGAAGTTTCTTTTAGCCCGTCCGTTTGTGAGAGGATCTCTACTGCTCTCCCTGTCGCACAGAAAATAAAAATACAAGTGGCCTTTAGGGGAAAAAAATCATACATATTTTAATAATATCAAGAATTACCTTCAGGCTCAATTTGTATCTGGTCGAGGCTCTTTCCTTCGAATTCCGTCACTCTTCCCTGCTCCATGGCCATCAACACTTTGCTGATTTTGGCCAGCTCCAGTGTCCCCTCTGGTAGTCTGTAATATTGCCTGTGGATGCGAATGTCATGGCCGAGGAAGTTGGCAAGTATGTCCATCTCATTCTCTTTCATATTGAGAACTGTAGACATAGTAGCTATGTGCTTTCTAAGTTTGGTTGAGGATAGCATCTCTGGATGCACCGCACCACATTCTTTGGCTACCTGGCGTAGGGAGTCTGATCCCCTGATGTGGGTGTCTGCGCCCGGGCGGGAAAAGAAGTATGGGTTATGGTCAGAGATGGAACAGGCCCTTCTGTTCTCCACCAGCACCTCCATCGAAGCAATCATTTCAGGAGTCAAAAGAACCGGCACTTTCCGACTTCTTTTCCCTTTAATTTCAATGCGTTGAAAATGCTGACACAGCTTTTTCTCAAGTTGGGACAGTCCCAGAGCAATGTCAGAATGGATCCCAGTCTTACTTCTTAAGGTAAAGGCTGTCAGTGGCATCTTTGAAACCTCACCTTCCCTTCTTCGATTGAAAATGATGACCTCACAAAGAGTCAAAACTGCCAGTTTAGACCAATGCTTAGACGTTGGCTCACTTATTAGGGTTTGCACATATTCAGGTCGACATACCTCAATATGTGCATGCATGGCTCTAACGTCCTCAGTCAGAGGGAGCAGGTCCGGAGTGTTCCACTTGGCTTGCCGGAGGGTCTGTAGGGCAGCAGAAGAAACACAGACGTCCCACCTCTTCTCAAAAAGCAGCCGGCTTCGTTGGAGGTTTTTAATAAATAGTTCATCAACACAATGCTCCATTTTTGAGTCACATTCAAGAATATCTGCTAGCTTTCTGAGGCTATGGCCGAGTTTGAGGGCCAAGGATGGAGTCTTGTATTGATTTGTTTCCTCATCATATCCAGCCACAGACCTGACTGCATCAATCACATGGTTAAAGTTGGAAGGAATAAAGAAATCCTTAATTGTTTTCAGTTTCCCTGCGGTTTTTGCTTCGTTAATTAACCTACCGACTTCTCTCATTTTCTGCCTAATGTAATCATGCTTAGTCTTATCATGCCCGTGTTTTAAGTACAGGTGCTCTCCGAGTCTCAGAATCCCCTTTTCTGCTTTGACAACACCCGTGACCTCATCCTGATGCATTGCCCAAATTAAAGACCACAGCTTTTTGCTGATGCCCTCCGGTACAGGCTGGGCTAGGGAGCAGAGGGACTGGACCCTACTTCTACCTGGTTTAGCCTGGGCATCTTTCTGTGAAAGCCGGCACCTGGCCACATGCCTCCACAGCGACTTTCGCTTAAGCCATGCCCCACAGTCTATACAGTGCAAAAACTCACTGGATTTAACTGGGGAATTTGGCTGTTTAGCTGGGACTAAAGTTCCAATGCCGGCCTTTAAAACCTCAAAATTGTGCTCACGGTTTCCACTATTCCTGATCAAATCAAACTGAAGTTTACGTGCTTTAGATTTCACAGGTAGAGCCAATGCTCTGGCTACGTCACTTTCATTTCCATGTTTTCTAGTCAAATGACGGGACATTTTGTGGCAGGACATTGAACAGTAGAGGCAGAAGTGTCTCTTGCTGTAAACCCTGCCCCCATTTTTCTTCTTTTGCAGCTGCATGATAACAATCTTATTTGCCTTTGGTTCGTCACTTTCCGAGTCTTGAAACAAAGTGTTTTTGATTTTTCTTTTTCCATACTTTTTTACAGGTTTCTTCTTGACAGTTAAATCGTCAGAATCTGAGTCGACTTCATCAATTAGGACAACAATCGCGAGGGAGACTGAATGGTTTGATTGGCCCCACCGTTTTTTTTGAGGCTCGGTTTGATCAGTAAGAGTGAGGTATTCTGTGTCCTAAGTGTACACTACAAGTAAGACAAATATTCACTTCTTCCTCTGTCGTATCCAGTAAGACCACCAGGACATACGCGTCGACGCTCCATTTAACTGACTTAAATAACTTATCGTCAACCAACTTGATTATACTTGTTCTTTAATAAGATTTGTTTTCTTTCGCGCTTGCTTACTGAACCGACAAAGATCATCTCAGGTTTTCGTACAAAAGCACTTTATTAAAATATACTACAGAGATGACTGTATTGTATTATTAAACATCTTGATCTCAACCCTTGTATCAGCGACGAAGGTTCCTCCTGGTACATTGATTGAGCTGTAGTCACTGAGAGCATCTTCACATTTGGAGAATCACCACTGCCTGATTCTCTCTTCATCTCTGTACAACCTCACTGCCTGCACTGAGGTGTCCCAGAGCCGCGGAGCAGAGGAACTCTCTCTTGAATGCTACAAGGATCCTATATAGTCAAATATTTACAGGACCAACTTATCAGTAGCAATTGTTCCCGACCAGACGCTAGGCTGCTGCAGATGCAAGAACAGGACATACAACGCTTACTTGCATCGTAATTTACATATTAACATTAAAAAAGAAAGTGGTCTTAAAAATTGTTTCCACTGTACTGTACACCTAATCTAAACAGCATATACACGTAAAAGGAGAGGGCAACGGTACAGGTTCCAGGGGGTGGGTTGTTATGTATGTGGGGTGGGGTTGGTGGGGTTTTTTGTTTGGGCCGTGGTGATAAATGCACGATCAGCGCACTTATGAGGCAGTCCCTGGACGTGACTTTTGTGGGAACAGTAGACTACGCGCTCGCCATCACAACATCGATGAGAGGAAAAGTGAGAGATTTGGCTCTGTCCTACAAAAGTCACAGTCCAGATGACTGCACATAGTGCGTCAGCTGAGCGACTGACAGAGACCCCAGGACAAAACTTCTGTCCGAACACGCTACAAGGAGTCTACTCTGTACCAAAGTTGCATCTCATCTTTTTAGTGTTGATAGTGCTGTTTGTTTTAGGTGTCTACAGTACAGTGGAAATCATATTTAAGACCACATTGCTTTTTTTATATACATTATGGTAATAACAGGCGAATGCAGAACTGAGGTTATGTACTGTCATTTCTTAGCATCACAGAGCGTCCGTCTCTGTCGGGAACTAATCTGCTAGACTGAAAGGTTTGGTCATGAACATATATGAACAATGGCGTCCTGTAATGCATTCGAAGAGCGGGTCTCTCCCTGCTCCGGCACAATCTGAGTACACACAGTGCACTAGGAGGTTGGTAGCAGGTGATTGAAGCAGAGCATACAGGCATGGCCTGTCCAAACTTGAAGATGATCTCAGTGTATACAGACAATACATGTCACCAGAGGAAACTCGTTCTACTGTATCAGCAACTGAAGACCACCTCAAGACTGTTTAATACTATACATCTTGTATTTATTTTTTAATTATGTGCTTTTGAAAAACTGACTGACTTTTGGTAGGCGATTCACAGTAAACAGGGAAAGAAAACAAATCTTTTTAATAAAAATAATCAAGTGTGAGATAAAGAATTATATTAAAGTCCTAAACTGGAGGCCAGAGAAGCGAGGTCCGGGTGGTCTTAACGTGATCGACAGAGAACACAGTAGTTAGGTAACTATGTGCCGTCACAGGGACCACAGAAACATCATCTCTGATCAATCAGAAAATGACTTCCTCAATCCCTTTTGTCAGTTCTCTCCAATCACGACGATGTTTATGTGTGGGCAAACATTCCGTCGTCTGATCTTAGTCGCATTCTTGACTTAACCAGGCCATCTGAATCCACTGTTGCATCGTTGAGCAACCAATTAAGAAGCGCAGCACCAGGCGATCAGTAGAGAGGAGAAATCAAGGCCAGACACACAAACACTCGGTCGCCTTGGTAAGAACACGGGGAAAGGAGGTACTAGGCGAAGGATGGAGGGTTATAAGTTGTGTAATGTCGTGTAAAATTTGCGTAGTGCAAAGGTTTGTGTGAGTTTTGAGAGGCGCACAGAGACAAGCCTCAGCTCCTGTCCTCTCCTCCTCCTCTTTCCTCCTCCTCCTCCTCCTCCTCCTCCTCTCCTCCTCCTCCATCTTCCTCCTCCTCGTCCTCTGCTTCCTCTGTTTTCCTCCTCACACAAACCACAAAGTCTGGAGAGCAAACCGTCACCTCCAACCGTCCAAATGTGGATCCTCACATAACAGCAGGCTCAGGCTAACGACAGCACAAGTTAAAGCTGAGGAACCTGACTTTCAAACATCAAATATATATACGAAAATCATCTCGTTCTTTGCTCTTAGTTCCTCCTATCACAATTTTGTTGTCCTTGTCACTGCTTTAAAAATGACTTTTTCAGACAGAAAGTATCAACGAGGGGACCAGTCCCACTCGGCCAATCATCTAGCTCAAAGGGTCAAATAGTGAGGGATCTTCCTTACATAAAGATCGCTGATTTCTGATGAAAAAGACAATGTGATCTGGTCGGATTTTTTTCACAATTTTTTTCTTTTTCAAGACATGTATTATTTATTAAGAGAAGTGAGGTACTCATCTTGAACTGCATTTAATTCGGAACCAGGAAGTACCATCACATTAGTCCTGGTCTCTGGGTCACCTGTGGCTCAGAGAATAGACTTTATGAGGAGCACAGGGACTGGCCTCCTGCTGGGACTTTGAGGAGCACAGGGACTGGCCCTCCTGCTGGGACTCTGAGGAGCACAGGGACTGGCCTCCTGCTGGGACTCTGAGGAGCACAGGGACTGGCCTCCTGCTGGGACTCTGAGGAGCACAGGGACTGGCCTCCTGCTGGGACTCTGAGGAGCACAGGGACTGGCCTCCTGCTGGGACTCTGAGGAGCACAGGGACTAGCCTCCTGCTGGTGCCCAAAGGCCGGACTAAACATGTGGAGGCAGTATTTCAGATTTATGCAGCCAAAATCTGTCTTCCTGAAAATGTGAGCCAGGATTCTTCTCTGACAACATTTAAATCCAGGTTAAAAACAGTTTGGTTTATCTGCACTAACTGAAGCATTGTGTCTTTCCTCTTTTTTATGGACTTGATAAATATGTAAGGCCTGAGTGTTTCTATCTTGGTTTCTTGTGCATGAACGGTGCTACACAAATAAATGACAGAAACCTTTGTTGTGGTCTCAGGTCTCTGGGCGGTCTGCAGAGGGAGTCGTGTTTCCGCTCGGCTCCTCTCTCCAGGATGGTGACCAGAACGAGCCCAGGGAACCCCTTCACCTCCTCCCAGCGGATCTGAACCATCTCAGTCCTTTGTGGGGTTCCACAGGGGTCTGATCTTGGTCCTATGTCGTTCTCTTTGTATTTACTACTCACTTAGTCCATTTTTAAAGGATTTCAATTAATCATGACAGATTAACCTTCTGTATGAACTAATTTCAGGAAAAATCTTGTGGAAAAGTTACAAAAACAGAAACAAATGTGAGTTTTTTTGAATTATTTTGATCTCAGAACGATGTTTAAAGCAGTGGATGTTTTTTACATGTTGCCATCTGGTAACCTATCCCAGCAACTTACCCACAACAAACCAGTGTCCGGGGAAATTCCTTGGTAACCATGGCTTGAGCAAAACCACTTTTGTACCAGTTGGGCCTGGATAGAACCAGCACTGAGCAGGAACTAAAAATGTGTATGTGTGTATATATATGTATGCATGTGTATGTGCATGTGTGTCTCTGCGTGTGCGTGTGTGTGTGTGTGCCTGTCTGTATTTGTGTCTGTGTGTGTGTGTGTACTGTATGTCTGTATCTGTTTGTATGTATGCATGTGTGTGCGCGTATCTGTGTGTAGATATGTGTGGCTATGTGCTGGTGTGTGTCTTTGTGTATTAATGTGTGTCTGTGTGTATGTGCAGGTGTGTGTGTGTCTGTGTATGCATGTGTGTGTGTTTGCATGTGTGTATGCATGTGTGTCTGTGTGTGCGTCTGTGTGTGCATGTCTGTATGTGTGTGTGTCTGTGTGTGCATGTCTGTATGTGTGTGTGTGTGTGTGTGTGTGTGTGTCTGTGTGTGTGTGTGTGTGCGTGTGTGTGTGTGTGTGTATGCGCCCACACTCATACACAGAATAATGAGGATGCACATTTGCATAATTTCTCGGATTGAGTCGAGTGAGTTCTGAGTGTTGTGTTTGTGCTAAAGACCTCAGACCGACGCAGACCAAGGGCAGAGCGAGAGAAACCTCTGAGGGCAGAGCGAGAGAAACCTCTGGGGGCAGAGCGAGAGAAACCTCTGAGGGCAGAGCGAGAGAAACCTCTGAGGGCAGAGCGAGAGAAATCTCTGAGGGCAGAGCGAGAGAAACCTCTGAGGGCAGAGCGAGAGAAACCTCTGGGGGCAGAGCGAGAGAAACCTCTGAGGGCAGAGCAAGAGAAACCTCTGGGGGCAGAGCGAGAGAAACCTCTGGGGGCAGAGCGAGAGAAACCTCTGGGGGCAGAGCGAGAGAAACCTCTGAGGGCAGAGCGAGAGAAACCTCTGGGGGCAGAGCGAGAGAAACCTCTGGGGGCAGAGCAAGAGAAACCTCTGGGGGCAGAGCGAGAGAAACCTCTGGGGGCAGAGCGAGAGAAACCTCTGAGGGCAGAGCGAGAGAAACCTCTGGGGGCAGAGCAAGAGAAACCTCTGAGGGCAGAGCAAGAGAAACCTCTCTGGGGAGAGAAAACACCTTTTTTGGATTAAAAGATGACATTCTTAGTGTGAAAAGACAATTAGAACTGCACATATATTTCTTTGTGTTGCAATAAACCGTAAGGTTTTAAAAAATACAATGGGAACTTGTTTTCTTGGTTAGAAAAGAGACATCAGAGAGAAACTAAAAAGGGGGATCAGAAACTAGAGAGAGAGACCAGGGAGAGAGACTAGAGAGAGACCAGAGAGAGACTAGAGAGAGACCAGAGAGAGACTAGAGAGAGAGACCCGGGGGAGTCAAGAGAGAGAGAACAAAGAGAGACTAGAGAGAGACCAGGAAGAGACTTGAAAGAGAGACGAGGGAGAGAAATGGAAGAGAAACCAGAGTGAGACCAGAGAGAGACCAGAGAGAGAGAGAGAGACCAGAGAGAGAAAACACAAAGACAATGGGAGAAAGAGTCCAAACGTACACATGTGAAAACTAGTGGTAAGAACCAGGGCGAGTAACTAGTTTTACCGCAGATATTTTTGATGTGTTTTGAAACCCAGGTCCCCCAGCTTTAACCCCGCTCTGTGGACCATGTGCAGGAGACGGAGGCTCTTTAAACAGCTCTGAGAGGCTGAAGTCTGCGGTCGGCTGCTTCCTGCTGTCAAAGATACAGAGGAAAAGACTGCTCCTCCAAGATTATCTGGATTTAAACTTTTCTGAAAGACTCTGAGAAAATCTGATGTGTCGAAGTCGGGCGTAAAACTATGAAGAATGATGAGAATCCAGGTTGAGGTGAACGAGAAGCTGAAATGTGAGAAACAGGAAGTACCTCATCCCTGTTTCCTGTGACAGATGTGACCACAGACACTTCATAATCGAGTCAATCATCGCACACTGAGAAGAAGAGGCGGACACGACACAACAACACACAACAACACAACACTATTTGTTAATTTCAATTTGTCTTGGAAGTTACACATGACACAGGTACACAGCGCTCTGCCCCATGGCCCAGAGAGGCCAGCAGGGGGCGCCTATCCAAGGACACAGTGGCTGAGTGGTTAGCACGGGGCCTTTCTGAGTGTAGGTCCCCCCAAGTGCCCCCAGTTTCTCCTACCACTATAAACATGTACGACAGGTCACCAGAGAGAGAGAGAGAGCAGAGAGAGAGACCAAAATGAGACCAGAGAAAGACTTGAGAGAGAGTGAGAACAGAAGAGAGAGCAGAGTGAGAGAGACCAGAAGAGAGACCAGAAAGACCAGAGAGAGATACCAAAGACCCGAGAGAAAAGAGAGCAGAGAAAGACAGAACAAGAGAGAGAGAGACCAGAGAGAAAGACCCAAAAGAGACCATAGAAAGACCTGAGAGAGAGAACAGAACAGAGAGCAGAGTGAGAGAGACCAGAAGAGGGACCAGAGAGACCTGAGAGAGCAGAGAGAGACCATAGTCAGAGACCAGAGAAAGACCTGATAGAGAGACAAGATAGAGAGAAAGAGAGCAGAGAGAGAGAGAGAGAGAGCAGTTAGAGAGCCCTGAGGGACCAGAAAGAGAAAGACTAGAGAGAGGGAGACAGACCAGGGAGAGAGAGACCTGTGAGAGAAAGAGGGATTAGAGAGAGACCAGATAGAACAAAGTAAGACGCAAGGGACCAGTGAGAGAGAGAGAGAGAGAGAGAGAGAGAGAGAAGCCAATCCCTGTCATCTTCACCTCTCACAGACCCTTGATAAACCTGTATCCTTCCCGATGATCTTCTCACATCTCTCTCTCTCTCTCTCTCTCTCCCTCTATCTCTCCTCTCTCTCTCTCTCCCTCTCTCTGTCTCTCTCTCTCTCTCTCTCTCTCTCTCTCTCTCTCTCTCTCCCTCTCTCTCTCTCTCTCTCTCTCTCTCTCTCTCTCTCTCTCTCTCTCTCTCTCTCTCTCTCTCTCTCTCTCTCTCTCTCTCTCTCTCTCCTCCTCCTCCTGTTGGATCCTCGGCTGCTTGGTTTTCAGATTAATTCTTGCGTTAATTCTCGTGTAGAGGACGTGGCTCCTTCTCTGACACCTCGCAGATCATTACCATAAGGAAATTACTGCTTCAGTTCGTACCCACAGAATTTAATTTAGCCAGACATCACCGCATAATGCCATCCCAAACACACACACAGACACACAGACACACACACACACACACACACGCACACACACACACACACACACACACACACACACACGCAAAAAGAGTATTTAAAGGGGAATACAAAGCGTTGAGTCAATTAGGAATGACACGGATATGAAGCGCGGACAGTGTGTTTAAACGTGCATGAAATAGGCGGCGGAGAGCGGCTTTTGTGGTCTCATAATAAGGTTAATTATAAAGACACACGACGCAGATTACACCGGATTATGGCGTTGTGTGTGTGTGGATATGAAGCAGGTACAAATTGGGATTGCTGCTTGGATTCAAGTTTTTAAGTGAAATTGAATATCACGTCTGATAGAGGTTTTTTTGTTTTGTTTTTTCTAAATTGAGATGTCTTGGTTCCCACAGAAAGCCACGTCTGGTCGCTTATTTGTATAGCACAGTTCATATAATAATAATAATAATAATACTCATACTTATATAGCGCTTTTTGGACACTCAAAGACGCTTTACAGAAGAAAAATAAGAAAATAAAATTAAAAACTAAAAATAAACAGTTAAGCGTGGGCACTTTTGAACAGGTGGGTTTTGAGAAGTGATTTGAAGTTCTGTAGTGAGACAGAGTTCCTGATGTGTGGTGGGAGTGAGGTCCAGAGAGTGGGGGAATATACACTTAAGGCAACTCAAAGTGCTGAATAAAACTGGATAGAAACGATCACACAAGGCATTAAATTATAAATAATCACTGAACATTCAAACAAGTGAAGATACAAAAGGAAACACATTTGTTTTAAACCAGGATTCGAACATTGTCGGAGAAGAATGAAGTCTTTTATGACAGACTCAGTGTCCAACGTTGACACAAAAAAGACAGAAGATACAAGTTAAAGAGACAGAAGACAACTTCACCAGTGCGTCCCCATCCTCCTCTGATAACGTCCTGCACTACTTCGGACATTGACCACAGACACACATACTGTATTTCACTGACACTTTCCAACGAAGCTGCACACCAGAGTCCGCAGTGTGGCCTACAGGTGCTGACTCCTGCAGAAACATCTCGGTCCATCCTGAGAAGCACATCATGAATCCACCTGCAGCTTTTGCACGGATTCTTTTTTGTGGTTGGACCAAAGATGGGCCATGTACCGCGGTGAACTGTAAGTCTTATTAAGTATTGTTATGACCTGGTCTGTGCACAATCCAAATCTGCTGCCTTAGTATTTGCCTGAGCATATGTCACCATTATCAGACAGGTCCTCCGTAACTATATACCCCCAGGTCTTTTATTTCACCTGAAAGAGTAAGGAAAGTGTTTGATGGATAAAAGAACTGGACAATTCATATTTCTGTGTTTGTCCTACAAATCATGACCGTATACTTTTAGATGCATTAAACAGGAGGTCGTACTGTGAACAGATAATAAGTAATTGCTGCAGTCCCAAAGTGCTGTGACAGACGACCACAAAGTCATAAGTGTACATAAGGTGATTAAAAACACTATTTCCAGATATACCACCAGTTTGTCAAGCTTTAAGTCTCAAAGAGAGTTCGTCCAGACTCCACTGCCAACCATAAATGGAGCAGACACATTTGCATTCTCTGCCTATACCAAAACACCAAGATCCTCACAATATATTTGGGCACCTACATCTGAACTGGTTTTTTGATTAATGTTCTATGATTAACCCTGTCAAAAGCTTTGGACGCATCCAGAAAGAACGTAAAAACTGAGGAATTGTGTCAGTCCGCATGGATCTGACTGGATCCTCGTTTTTAGTCCTGTCTCTGGGACCAGCAGGAGACCAGGCCCTGTGCTCCTCAGAGTCCCAGCAGGAGGCCAGTCCCTGTGCTCCTCAGAGTCCCAGCAGGAGGCCAGTCCCTGTGCTCCTCAGAGTCCCAGCAGGAGGCCAGTCCCTGTGCTCCTCAGAGTCCCAGCAGGAGGCCAGTCCCTGTGCTCCTCAAAGTCCCAGCAGGAGGCCAGTCCCTGTGCTCCTCAAAGTCCCAGCAGGAGGCTAGTCCCTGTGCTCCTCAGAGTCCCAGCAGGAGGCTAGTCCCTGTGCTCCTCAGAGTCCCAGCAGGAGGCTAGTCCCTGTGCTCCTCAGAGTCCCAGCAGGAGGCCAGTCCCTGTGCTCCTCAAAGTCCCAGCAGGAGGCCAGTCCCTGTGCTCCTCAAAGTCCCAGCAGGAGGCTAGTCCCTGTGCTCCTCAGAGTCCCAGCAGGAGGCTAGTCCCTGTGCTCCTCAGAGTCCCAGCAGGAGGCTAGTCCCTGTGCTCCTCAGAGTCCCAGCAGGAGGCTAGTCCCTGTGCTCCTCAGAGTCCCAGCAGGAGGCTAGTCCCTGTGCTCCTCAGAGTCCAAGCAGGAGGCCAGTCCCTGTAACTTTGTATTACTTTTTTCAGTGTCATAAAATAGCATCTATAGAATGAGAAATAAAACCTATGATACTTTCAATATCCATTATTCCTCGCTCTGACAGTTGCTTCTATCACAGGTTTTCACGAGACAGAGAGACAGAAAAGAGACAGAAAACTGAAGAGAACGACTTCACTCACCCAGATCTTTGTAGATTTTCTGTCACATCTAAAAATGGGACCACAATAAATGTATGTGCAAACGAGTGGTAGAAACAAGCTGAGACCAAAGAGAGACCAGAGAGGGACCAGAGAGAGACCAGAGAGAGACCAGAGAGAGACCAGAGAGAGACCAGAGAGACCACAGAGGGATCAGAGAGAGAGACCAGAGAGACCACAGAAGGATCAGAAAGAGAGACCAGAGAGGGACCAGCGAGAGAGAAGTGAGAGACCACAGAGAGAGAGACCAGTGAGGGACAAGAGAGAGACCAGAGATAAAGACTTGAGTGAGACCAAAAAGAGACCAGAGAGAGACCAGCGAGCAAGGCCAAAGATAAATCTAGTAATAGATTTAAACTGTTTGAGAGACACATTTGATATTTTGTATTGTTTTAAAGTCAGGTACCCTAACTTTAATTCAAGTCTAAAATGACACAGAGTTTTTATAATGACCAAGATTTAAAAAAAAAAAAAAACAATATGAATCATTTTTATCAAATCCCACAGACCACATACATTTCACTGTATTTAAAACGTATTTGTCTTGTGCGTGTCTCTGAGTCCAGCGACAGAAGCCGCTCTGACTTTGGGGGTGACGCTGGTGTAACATGAGTCTGAAAGCAGTTGGATCTCAGAGAGGTCCGGTGCTATCAGTGTGAGCCAGCGTGTGTCCCGTGTCCCACTCCCACTGAGCGAGCAGACCCCCTCACCCCACCCTCACCCCCCCTCTCCCCCCCTCTCCCCCTGTAGGACCGGAGAGGAGGGGGAGGCGCCGTGTGGAAGCCTGCGCACGTCTGGAAGTGAAGATATGTGTTTTACAGGAGCAGGAGAGAGGACGACGCAGAGACATCTGTGTGTTTTGAGAAATTTAAATAAATGTGCTATATCAATATATTTCCTTCCTTCCTTCTTATGAAACACCTGTGTCTATCCAGGACAGCTGTGTGAAGGGGGGGAAAGGTGTGTCACCCATAGACTTTTATCACAAGGAGGGATCGGAAAGAGAGAGCAGAAAGAGAGATTGGAGAGAGAGGTCAGAGAGAGAGACTGGAGAGAGAGGTCAGAGAGAGAGAGAGAGACTGGAGAGAGAGGTCAGAGAGAGAGAGACTGGAGAGAGAGGTCAACGAGAGAGAGAGAAAGAGACTGGAGAGAGAGGTCAGAGAGAGAGAGAGAGACTGGAGAGAGAGACTGGAGAGAGAGGTCAACGAGAGAGAGAGAAAGAGACTGGAGAGAGAGGTCAAAGAGAGAGAATGACTAGAGAGAGGTCAGAGAGAGAGAGAGAGAGACTAGAGAGAGAGGTCAGAGAGAGAGAGAGAGAGAGAGGTCAAAGAGAGAGAGACTAGAGAGAGAGGTCAGAGAAAGAGAGAGACTAGAGAGAGAGGTAAGAGAGAGAGAGAGAGAGACTAGAGAGAGAGGCCAGAGAGAGAGATTGACGAGAGAGAACAGAGAGAGAGACCAGAGATAGAGATGGAAGAGAGAGACCAGAGAGAGAAACAGAGAGACGAGAGAGAGACAAGAATGAGAGAACGCAAATTAAACATAACTTAACATATTGAGAGACCAGAGAGAGAGAGATACCATAGAAAGGCCAGAGAGAGACAAGAGAGAGACCAGAGAGAGAGACTAGAGAGAGAGCAGAGAAAGTGACCATATTTACAGACAAAACATCATGATATAAACATCAGGATTTTAAAACCCAAAATGGTGAGTGTGGCACAGGAGGAGTTCACTTTTACCTGTAAGTCAAAAGGAGCCAGAGAGAGAGAGAGAGATGGAGCAAACCTGCGTCTATGAGCACTTCCCTTTAGGGGTTAGCATTGTCCATCTGTAAACACTGGTGTCAGTCATTACTCATTCATCAGACTTATCAATATTCATGCATAATCTAAAACATATTTGAGATACGTGAGATTGACTTGAATTATAGAGTTGGAATAAGACTGTTTCAGTGTCTGTGTTATTCAGATATATTTAGTACTTTTAAGTCTCAATACTGATATAAAATGAGATAATAAACAGGTCCAGAGGCACTGACTGATGGGGTGAGGGTGTATGCTGCTGCTGTCTGCGTATATGGAAAACACAGACACATGGAGAACATGCAAACTCCCCACAGAAAAGCCCTGTCCGTTGTATTCTGGACAAGACTGAACCTGACCTGCCATTTGTGTCAGAGTAGAAGCCTGTCTCACATTGTCTGGAAGATTGTTCCAGATTAGAATGGCATATATCTGAAACACTGCCTCCTCCTGTTTAGTCCTGACTCACCATGAGCCAGAGGCCAGTCCCTGTGCTCCTCAGAGTCCCAGTATACGAGGCCAGTCCCTGTGCTCCTCAGAGTCCCATACAGGCCAGTCCCTGTGCTCCTCAGAGTCCCAGTATACGAGGCCAGTCCCTGTGCTCCTCAGAGTCCCATACAGGCCAGTCCCTGTGCTCCTCAGAGTCCCAGTATACGAGGCCAGTCCCTGTGCTCCTCAGAGTCCCATACAGGCCAGTCCCTGTGCTCCTCAGAGTCCCAGTATACGAGGCCAGTCCCTGTGCTCCTCAGAGTCCCATACAGGCCAGTCCCTGTGCTCATCAGAGTTGGTTCATATGGCTCTCATGTTACAGACTTTGGTTGCGAGGCCATGGAGACACTGTGTTAAGAAGGCATAGGACCACAAACAAACCCACGGGGGTCCCCAATCTGCCCACGGGCCTTGGTTTGGACATGGTTCTGTTACAGCTGGACCCGGGCTTGTCTCTGGTCTCCGTGTTCATGTCTGTGGGACCATCGCGCTGCTGGTTCTCTCTCTTTAAAGAGAGAGAGACACCAGAGAGAGACCTGCAGAGAGAGACCAGAGAGAAACCTGCAGAGAGAGAGACCAGAGAAAGACCAGGGAGAGACTAGAGACCAGAGAGGGACCAGAGAGACACCTGCAGAGAGAGACCAGAGAAAGACCAGGGAGAGACTAGAGACCAGAGAGGGACCAGAGAGACACCTGCAGAGAGAGACCAGAGAAAGACCAGAGAGAGACCAGAGAGAGAGACCAGCAAGAGACCAGAGAGAGGCCAGAGAGAGGCAGAGAGAGACCAGAGAGAGACCTGCAGAGAGAGACCAGAGAAAGACCAGAGAGAGACTAGAGAGAGACCAGAGAGGGACCAGAGAGAGACCTGCAGAGAGAGACCAGAGAGAGACCAGAGAGAGAGACCAGAGAGAGGCCAGAGAGAGGCAGAGAGAGACCAGAGAGAGACCAGAGAGGGACCAGAGAGAGACCTGCAGAGAGAGACCAGAGAAAGACCAGAGAGAAACTAGAGAGAGACCAGAGAGAGACCTGCAGAGAGAGACCTGCAGAGAGAGACCAGAGAGAGACCAGAGAGAGAGACCAGCGAGAGACCAGAGAGAGACCAGAGAGGGACCAGAAAGAGAGAGGGACCAGATAGAGAGACCAGAGAAAGAGAGACCAGAGAGAGAGACCAGAGAAAAAGACTTGAGAGAGACCAAAAAGAGACCAGAAAGAAACCAGAGAGAGACCAGTGAGCAAGGCCAATGAGAACACTAGTAATGGACTTAAACTGTTTGAGAGTGAGACATAGATGGATTGTAGGACTCTCTGGTCTCTGTTCTCCGTGTTCATGTCTGTGGGACCATCGCGCTGCAGGTGACAAAAGGCCAAACCCTCACCCCTCCTCACCCCCCCCCCCCTCTCTCTTTAAATGAAATAAATAAACAATGACCGCCCCTCGCCTCATCCCATCTCACGCATGGCTGCCAACGCTGCGTCTCTCGCCGTCAGAGCCGCGCATCTCATTGGCACGGGGGGCCCCTGGTTCTTTGCGCGCGCTCTCCTCTCCATCCATAAAAAGCGCACACACGCACAGAGGAAACCACAAACCAAACCCGCTGCTGGTTCAGAAGGCGCGATGCTGGGCTGGAACGAGGAAGTGCAGTGGAGAGGGGAGGGCCCGAGGACGCAGCTCCCAGGGGCCCCAGCCGTGTTCAGAGCCAACGCGTATGGAGCCGGGGAGAGCTGGAAGAATTTCATACTGCAAACGCAAGGGATAGCAGGTAAAAAAAGACACGGCAAAAACACAGGGAAAGTTGTGATTGTGGTAATTGCCGACGCGTGTGAGGGGTGAGGGTTTGGGGGAGAGCGGAGGATAGAGTTGGGAGGGAGAAGCATGGGAAGGAAAGTGAGTTTGCTCTAGTTTGCAAAGCAGGTAGCAACAGTTTCTCGCTCTCACAGCTCATTTCTATCTCAATACTCTCTGTTCGGCCTCTGTCACATTTTAGATCAGCTTTTTCAGTCAAAAAAGTGACTTGGAGAGAGGAGCACACGCGCAGCCAATCAGCTCTCAGCAAAAAGTGTCAAATAGTGACTGTTTCAGGGCTCGTTCTTACTCAAAATATGACACGTTTTCTAAAAAGACGAAGACGTGTGTGTGAGAGTGTGTGTTTGAGTTTGCCACATTTTTCTGTTTCTGTAGAAAAATGTCAGAATTTCTTTTCCAGTAAAATGTTAAATAACGGGGTTTTCAGCGTTAGAATGAGACACATTTTCAAACGGGGACGACAGGGATAAAGAGGTTTGTAAATGTAGTTGTATTAATGGTGAAAGTTGAGGAGAGAGTCGGGAGGAAGCAAACGGGAGACAACATGAGTTTCCTGTAGAGTTTGTGAAGCAGGTGCACAGCGTTACGCACTGACTGAAGCCACCGCGGAAACTTTGTCCATTTCTTTAACAATATCTGCGGCAAAAACTAAATATGTATAAACCAGTATAAAATCGCTTTAATGTATTAGTAGATTATAGATTATAGATTAATCGATGTGTCTGCGACTCTGCGAGGGAATAAAAAGACTCACAACAACAACAAAAAAGATTTTGGTTGTAGATTTTGATCACGTGAATTCATTTCATACAAGTTCAACAACATATTTATTTTTCTATTTGAAGTGGACACGTGTGTTCCACTGCCAGAGAATTCCCCAAGTCAAGCTCCAATCAATACTTTACAATCGCAGTCTAAGTTTGAGAGACAATTTCAAACAACTTTCCAGTTCATTCCGTGATCCCCTCACTCTTGGATCATTGGTCAGTTCATTTACAAAGAACAGATTAGTGCCATGATGATATTTGAAAGACTTAAAAATGTGCTCTTTACTGTGTAGCATATATGGGGGAAAAGGGATTTATTTTATAGCGATACACATGTTGAAGATTGCATCTTTAAAATTACAACTTTTGCACATGTTTTTGAATAATCTGTTTTTGCTTTTTGAAATTATTATTATTCTCTTTTTTTTTTTTTTTTTACAAAACAAGATCATAATAAATAAATAGTGATTACGTAGTAAATAAAACTTTACTTTTCCTTTGCTTGTTACGTATTTTGAGCGCGTAAAGCTGCTGCACCTGCTTTCAAAATGCGGAAACATGAGAAACTCAATATTATAATATTATCCACAACTCATACATCTCTATCTTCAACTTGTAACGTGTGTAAAATACATGTTTTCCAAGTATCAATAACACTGTCGGCTTTTAATGCAGCGCTGGCACCTGTTGCTGCAGAGGCGCGCGCTCTCTTCCCCGTCACATTCACGAGAAATTACATCAAAACACACACAGTTCACACATCAAACTGAAGGTTTTTAAAGTTAGGATTAATTTGAGATTAGATTAATCACACGCAAGGGACTATTTGAAGTCTGCGAGCCGCGCGTAAAAGCAGGAAGCATCCGCAGGAGGCAAAAAGGCGCCGCGCGCTCTGCAGCCATGGCACAGACTACAAACTACAAACTCGTCACAGATCAGGACTGCTGCTTTTGAGAAATGAAATGTCAGATAAGAAAAAGGCAAAGAGGCAGTTCTGTGGCGCAGAGTGACTGCGAGAGTTTGTCACCAACGCCCAAAAATAACGACGAGAAGCGAGAGGAACTTTTTTTCTCTCTCTCTCTCTTCTTTTATGCGCTGCAGCCAAACTAACAGCACCACTTCCTCTTCTGTATCTGCAAACATGGGCTCGTTATGTGTGTGTGCAAAGGTTTTCGTTTAGATTTAAACTCTGTGCCAATCAGAATGTACACAAAAGAGGACAGAAGATGTTAAAAAAGAAGGATCTCAGTCGTGTTTGAGCTGCATGGAAACAGTTTGGGCCTAGACTAAAGCAGAAATCCTAAATTAAATCAACATGAGATAAGAATTACCGTGAAATAAGTGACTATTTTTTCATCTATTTTATACATTTATATACACTTGTCGCATTGCAGTCGACGCATTTTCTTGTCGCGCCTTCGCTTTTGTCGTAAATCCTAAAATCTTTTCGCATTTTTTTTTACAAAGAAATAAAGCGTCAGTATTATGGGAATACTGCGGTAAATACAGTCTTTAATTAAAAGCCATTATTTCCAAATCTCAACATTTCACCTGAAAAATGTGTAGCTATTCTTCTGCTACATTTTCCACCCTTTAGAAAAAAAAACATTATTTAAAAATTACAATTATGTTGGCAATATTTACTTGTAGAAAATATACAATGTACAGATGCAACAATGTTTAAGGAGAGAAACTGTAGAAATATGAAAAGTAGTAGTATTTTTGTGACACATTGAAGGAATAGTTTTATTTTAGCAACTTAAAAGTTTTTGTTAAAAACATCAACCAAATATTTAGTACTGAATTTAGAAATTGTCTGAAGTAATCTACTGCTTCTACTGTTATGACTGCTGCTACTGCTTCTACTGCTACTATACGAGAAAACACCGTTTACATCAAGACAAAACAAATATAAAAGTACTTGACACAGCACCTGTACTGCAGTACTTCTCAGTACTTCTCTCTGTACTTCTCGCTGGAGTATAGACAGCAGCTCACTGCTGCAGAAATATACATCCATCCATTTTCTACCCTTTAATCCATTTCTGGGTCAGGGGGGTGGCAGTCAGAGATGCCACCCAAGTCTCATAGCACCAGCCCCTCACTGACCCTCTGCAGGTGGTGAGTCCACAGGAGGACGGCTGCTCTCTGAGTGTGAGCATAGCCTTGATCTTTCAGTTGGGGCTTTGGGCAAAGTGGGGTTAAGTGTCTTGCCCAAGGACACAACGACAGCAGTCATCAGTGGGAGTCGGTGGAGAAGGTGCAGAGGTGGGAATATAACCCACAACCTTCAGGCCTGAAGGGCAATGCTCTACCAACTGAGCTACTGTCGCCCAGAAATATACAGTGATGCTTTAAAGCTGGGGTACCTAACTTCTAACCCACAAAACAAATTAGCTCTGTCAAAGTTTGCTTCTAGATTATGTGTTTTTGGTCTCTCTGGTCTCTCTCTTTGGTCTCTCTCTCTGGTCTCTCTCTGGTCTCTCTCTGGTCTCTCTCTTTGGTCTCTCTTTGGTCTCTCTGATCTCTCTCTCTGGTCTCTCTCTCTCTGGTCTTTCTCTTTGGTCTCTCTCTCTGGTCTCTCTCTGGTCTCTCTCTCTGGTCTCTCTCTGGTCTCTCTCTGGTCTCTGTCTCTCTCTCTGGTCTCTCGCTGGTCTTTGGTCTCTCTCTCTCTTTTCTCTCTTTCTCTCTCTCTCTCTCTCTCTTTCTCTTTCTCTCTCTCTCTCTCTCTCTGGTCTCACTTTGCTTGTCTCTATGCTTCTCACATGGTTATAATGACCTAAAAACAGTTTTAAAGCTTTTAAATGAGGAACAAAAAATCAATGGAGACTACTGAAGTCTTGTCCAATCCAATCTAATTTATCTATATAGCACATTCAACAACACAAGTTTACAAAGTGCAGCAAAGAGACAGAAGTAACACATATAAATATTCTGTTCTGTATATTTTAGTAAACATAAACTTGAGAAGACTTTTGCTGTGGCCTTTGATATTTTTGCAATTTTGTCGTAAACAAATGGACAAATATGAATATAATGGATTAAGAGATGACAAGGATGAGCGACACTCCCCTAGTGGTGGAAAGCGGGAAATTACAGTCTTCTAAACATATGATGAAGATGAGGACACACTTTTGGAAACCAGTCTAATTTGAAGAAATTAGTTAAAACTGCAGGAAGAGGCGATACTTTTGTTTTAATGGATGACGTCACAGTTTGAAAGTTAATCCTAGTTTGACAAGGGCGCATTTAGAGAGAAGGGGTGGGGGTGTGTTCATAATATTAGCGTGGATCACTCCAGGTCTTGAATTTCCGGTTCTTTTTTTCCAACTTCAAACATTGCAGGCTGTACTTGGATTTTCAATGCATTCTCTCTTGTACAGTATCCTGGGTCGATATTGCGCTATACAATTAAACCTGCCTTCCCCTGGTCTGGTAAATACTCAAATTGAACCTGAGAACTGGTCAAAATCCAGAAAACGGCTTTGAATGTGGACTTTACTCATTACTATCGAAACTTTTAGCTTAAGACCGAGGTTAGTTTTGGCAAAAATATACAAAAGAAAACATGTTTTTTTTCTCTTCTCCCCAAAAAATGTCTTAATTTATCTCTATTTTTAAACTATAAAAAAAAAAACACTCAAACCAGAAGAAAGAAAAACAAGTTGTATCAAGATTAAGACATGAGCTTTGAAATCGAAGTTACGTGACTGCCCCAAAAGCTCAATCTTCTGTAGCATGGATGGAGTTAAAAACAACTCCAGGTCTGTTCTTAATGAGGAAATACATATTTATCTATGTTCGTGTTTGAAAATCCACTAGAATCCATGTGAGTCCGGTCTGGGTCTGGGTCTGTGGTCTGGGTCTGGGTCTGGGTCTGGGTCTGGATCTGTGGTCTGGGTCTGTGGGTGGTCTTTATCTGTAACCGTCTGGCTCCGCCCAAACACTCTCTCTCTTCACTCACAATACTCTGAGACAGATCAATACTCAAAGGTACTGAGTAACATTTGTGCCAAAATGCTTGAATCTAACAGTTCTACTCTACTCTACTAAATTCTACTCTACTGTACTCTACTGTACTGTACTGTACTCTACTCTACTCTACTGTACTCTACTCTACTAAACTCTACTCTACTGTACTCTACTGTACTCTACTCTACTTTACT